TGGAAGAACCAGGGTACAGTACAGAGTACGAAGTGCATCTTTATCAAGGTATCAAGGCATTGAGATGATCACTAAGAATAAAATATGAAAAAACGATGCACTGACTCCAGATCAGCTTTTTTTGTAAGTTTTTTTTTTAAATCAAACTGCGACTGTGCAGCTTGCTTTAGTCGCGCGCTGATGACGACACGCGCAGAGGCGGTGCGGGTTTGCCACGTCGGTCTCTGTGCAACGCATTTACACTGTTGCTCTTCCAGCCCAGGGCTAACTTTTTGAGGCGTTTAGTGCTCTCCCCCCGAGAAAAGGCGACCCCCCCAGTGTCGCCCTCGCCGCTGTAGCCCGTCGCCACAGCAGCTCAGTCCAGGGAATTGAAGCTGAAAGGCGGAGAAATGCTCGGTACTGCCCGGACTCGCCGCACAACTGACTGATGCATCCTCGTCCAGCTCAGCCGCCCGCATGTTGTCGATGTTTTGTGAGTAACGACGGCTTTTACACAGCTTTCAAACTGTCCACGTTTGCCACCGAGCTAAAAGCTATTGTGTGTGTCCGTTTTTAGCGCTCTTTTTAAAGTGCGCTCCCAAGTTTCCGCAGTCTTAAAAAAATGACAACGCCGCCTGATGTCATGATCCAGACGAGCAGCTTTCAGTGCACGTCTTAGCAAGTCTAACACCCCTTAACCACCCCCAAGAAGAACAAAAAAATAAAACCCCAAAACACCGTCTCTCAAAATGTTCTGCAGAGTGCAACAAAAGCATTTCACAATTATAAGGAGTCGCGCTTAAAGTAAGAAACACGTTGCACTTCCACAAAATTGCTAAACACCATCCTGCAATCCCTTCATTGTAGTTCATTTCTGTACGCCTCAGTTCCCGTTTTCACTTTTGGCTTCTTTTTTTCGGAGTTGTCATCTTGCGTCCCTGCGCTCTGTTTGAGTCGCGTGTGCGTGAGTTAACGTCGGTTTCCTGTTTGTACAGCCAGCTCCAGTGCTCGATATTGATGCCGCACAGTGGCCTGTGAGCAAGCTGTTTTATCTTTTCCATCATGTTTCACAAGCTCCATCAGCATAAAGGAAATGTTGGTATACATAGAGGCTGCTGCTTATCTGGCTCTGGTTTATGTTTCGTTTAGAAGTCTGTCACTGGTTGATGAGAAAAAGCGGGTCTACGTTCTTGGTGTGTGTGTGTTTTAAGTCACTGGGTAATCATAAGAATCTATATAATGAGAGTGACAAGGATGTGAGTTGTAGCTACACTTCCTGGGGGTTTGTATGTTCTGTTGTTTGCAGCCCTGCAACAAGCAAACAAGAGAATAATGGGGGAAAAGTCTCAAGTGTCTCTTTTTATTGTAGGGTATCATTATTTTAGTTTTTAGTATGCGTTTCATATTTTACAGTATATCTATAATGGTGAGTGAACAGGCTCACACATATACCCAGCCTGTTTTCTACTCATAAATGCCACCATACCTTTGACAGAAGAAGGAAAAACACTGAAACCCTCAGAATCATATGTATGCTCTCACTGGCCTCTTCATTAGGAACACATGTTCAACTCCTTGTCGACAGAAATATCTAATCACTCAGATATTTAATCAAAAAATCTAAGCAGTCAGTCACAGGGTGGTAACTCTGTGCATTTAGTTGTGTAGATATGATCGAGACGACCTGCTGAAGTTCAAACCATCAGAATGAGGAACAAAGGTGATGATGAAAGTAGCATGGTTGTGCCAGACAGCAATGGAGAAACTGCTAATCTACTGGGATTTTCCCTCATAACCATCTCTATGGTTTACAGAAAATGGTCAGAAGAATAGAAACTTTCTAGTGAGTGGCAGTTTTCTTGTGAAAGATGCCAAGAGTGGAGAATGGCCAAACTGCTTTGAGCTGATAGGAAGGCAACAGTAACTTAAAACAACAGCTTGCTCCAACCAAGATGTGCAGAAGAGCATCTCTGAACACCTCCAACCTTGAAGCAGATGGGCTATGGTGGCAGAATACCACACTAGGTGCTGTTTCTGTCAGCTAAAAACAGGAAACTGATGTGTAATGGTGTGTAGGGTATTTGCTTGCTGTACTTCGGGCCTTTTAGAACCAGCTGAGTATTGTTGCTGAACTTGTGTATGCCTTTATGATCACAGTTTGGCCATCTTCTGATCACATTGAGTTCACTGTGCACAAATGATCTCCACAGTCTCCAAATCTCAGTCCAGTCAAGCATTGTTGGAACGTAGCAGAAAGGAAGATTTGCATTATGGATGTTCAGCAGACAAATCTGCAGCAGCTATGTGATGCTGTCATGTCAAATCTGAATAGGGTCTCCAGCACCTTGTTCAATCTGTGCCACGAAGAATTATGTCAGTTGTGAAGACAAAGGAGTGTCCAACCCAGTGCTAGTAAGGTGTACCTAATAAAGTGACTAGTAATCACGAGATAAAACAGCAGCAAATTCTTAAAAATCTGGAACTGACTACAAATTATTTCAATTATTGAGCTGTTAAAAGTGTCTTACATTGAATTCCCCCTTTTCTTTTATATAATATACATGATTTTATTGCACTTATTGCACTTTACTACATATAAATTGCTACTGTTGGTTAGTGTGAACGTCTCCATTAAGAATAGGTGAGTCTGAAAAGTATTTGTAACACAGGACACTTTTGCACAGATTTTATGCATCCGGTCTGTAAAAACCTGTCATCGTTTCAACTCTAAACTCCCATAGTTTGATATTTTCAGACGTCCGACTGAACTAAATTTACTTTATTCAACTGGCTGCTGTCCAAAAACGTGTACATGTAGAGCTGTGCGATATGACCAAAATCTCATATCCCGATATAAGAATTCTATCGTCCCGATAACGATATAAATCACAAAAATCTAACATTTTCTGTAAATTTTGTGAATCTCGGGCAGCTCGACTTGCGTGAAGTGTTTCCAGCTGCGCGTCCTTTACCCGGAGTCGAGTGTTTTAACCGATGCATGAAACGATACATTTTTAGACACAAGTTGTAATGCCGCCGTTTTCTTTGTATTTATTACACGGCGTGCTGCGGGTTGCCTGTTCTAACGTTTGAGTCTAAGGTTTATTTTTTAGCACCTGGCGGCTCTTTTTTACTTCTCATCCGTAAATAATCTGCTCTTTCACGTGATTCAGTTTATTTTAAAAAAGTCTCAACAGGATCTCGAGCTTTATTGTGAAAGGTTTATGTGGAACATAAACAAGCGGACACGCGAAGGTGTTACTGTAGCTGTTGCTAACGACAACGCATAAAAACAGGCGCTTGTCCGTCAGTAGTGTGGTTATATTACATATAAGAGAAAGAGAGAAATTAATATAGCCACTACAGTGACCATCAGAACGATGAAAAAATATTGCCGTAAACAGTTTATTTTGCGACACCACGAAACAAACGACAGCGTAAAATGAAACGATAGATGTTTTTATATCGTCATCCGATATGTATCGTTATATCGAACAGCCCAAGAGTTGCTATTAGAATCGTTTAGCTCGACCTCCAGCTCAGATAAAGACGCAATGTCCGATTAACACAATCAGTGTTAAATCCATGAAATAAAATGATCAGATTTTTAAAAATTGTCTCATTGCATCAGTATTTTTTGAGCAAGCACAGAAAGGTTAGAATAATTAATTTACAATGAAAATAAAGCACATTTGAGAAATCAAAGTTATTGTGTTTACCTGACCAGTAAGCTCAGCAATGCACTGATTTAAAAAACAACAACAAAAAAACCCCTCACTTATACTTGTTAATCATCCAGTCACCTAATTGCTAGTTAAACAGAAGAGTATTCAAATATTTATTTAATATTTATAAAAATGAACCAGTTACAACTTTTTGTATGTGACCTGTTTACTGTTTTAATTGTGCCATAAACTAGTAAGGTTACTACTCTTTGGTTGACATGACTTCAGAGATCTTGGAGATTTGTGGAAAACAATTGCGAAATTGTTTTTAAAACACACACACTCGTGCACACGCACGTGAAAAAAAAAAAAATCAGACAAACAAAACAAAAAGTGACTCTTGCGTGCTCCCACTTCAGATTTTAATCCTTTAAATATGGAACCGTTTAAACTTTAAATTTAAAATAAGCTGTGTATCTGTGGACTTCTATTTTATAAATGTGTGCTGCAGAGGATCAGCTAGCTGACCTATTACCACAGCTCATTGGGCACCTTGATAGAAAAAGCTCAGGTGTAATGAGTAACAGTCTGTAAATTAGGCCAGATATGAGTAAGCACGGGGACATTTGTTTGTGTTCTCTAAAGGAGCAGAGAGCAGGTTTTGTCTGGCAGGTTGTCATTTTCTGTGTATATCAGTCTCACTAAACACGTTTGCACACACCCTCAGAGGTGTGTTAGCATTTGAATTCTTTGGCATGAAGACACTTAAAAATCCCTCTGTAAACGCCTGTGGGCCTTTGTTTCCCAAAATCAGCGTAAGCATGCCCAACTGCTTACGTTCAGGTTTTCTTGTCTGTGCAGTCGGAGAGCAGTGACGGGTCTTTTTGCCTTGCTTAACAGGGAGTTTGACAGGAGAGTGTAGCCTCTGAAAAGATGAAGGGGGTCTCTGTGTCTATTTCTATAGCCGCTTTTACATAGACTGGAGATGAAATGGGCAGCATCTCAAAACTCGAATCGAGAAGTCTTCTACAGTTTTTTTTTTTTTTTTTCCCACATCCTACACAAAGCATGTAAGTAGAACGTGCAGGAGGACACTTGCTGTGGATTCACAGGACTTTTACCTGCTCTGTCCTCACATGGATGATCAGTGGGACCTCACACAGACTTTGCACTAGTTAAACTCCCTTTGAAGGCTTATCCAGCTGAGTAAGACATTTACATTTTCACTACTAGGTAGTGCCGACAAGAGTTGCAGACTGCAGAGCATGTGTGCTGTTTTCTGTGCAGATGACTCTGTATGTGTGTGTATTAGTATATTAGGCAAACCAAGGTTAAAGCAATTCAGCAGCCCTACTATAAGTCTTAACCTCTGTTTTACTGTTTTTTTATCATTCAATAAAAAAAATTGTGAGCTCATTTGAGTGGCTGTAGTTTGTGGTGGAACCTTCACTGTGTTGTAATCGAAAGTGTGTCAGATAATTTGTCTGTTCCATTTCTGTCATTGAAATAAGGTTGTGAGTTAAAAGAGCAGCTAGAAACTATCCTCACAACATTCCAAAGAAATTCCGCTTATTGTAGATAAGATGGTTCAGAGGACCTGTAAGTGTTTTATATGTGAATGAAGACAACCTTGTTTATTATCCCTCTTAGGCTTTAACAGATTATTTCAAGTATAGTTCAAATATGATTGACATTACATAGTAATGTGCTAGTTGTATCAAACACAGCAGCTTTGACAAGCTTGTAAACTCTTGTTGATGTTGCCTTTCATTCTGAAAACAGTTACATACAATTAAAATGATTTAACAAAAAAAATGACAAAGCTCCGTTCTCGCCGAGTAGAGGGCTTTGGGTTTTTGTCAGTTCAGTTTGAATGGTGTGCTGTGGGTTTTTCATAATCTGTCTTGTCTTATGAAACGTTGTCTTCTCTTTTGGTTCGGTTCACAGTGGCCTGGCAGTACATGGTGGCTCACTGAGGAGGAAGGGGGAAGTCCCAGTGGCTTTTGGTTGGTGGGCTCTGCCCTTGGTTGCCACAGTAATAGGCGACCATGCCAGGAGGTCGCAGGGGTCCCAGCAGACAGCAGCTAAGTCGCTCCGCTCTGCCGTCCCTGCAGACTCTGGTCGGAGGAAACGTCGGGAATGGTACAGGCCTCAGGAACAGGTATGCACACAGAGAGCCTCTCAGTGCTGTCAAGATGCAGTAATAAAGAGGTTTTGATTCATTAATGTATTTTAAAGCAGGAATGGACTGATTGAGAAATTCTGAGCCAATTCACAATATAGAACTTCTTTTTTCTTGTATTATGTCAACTTTCTGTGTGAGGTGAAAGTCAGAAATCTTGATGATACATAATTCATGTGTCATCAAGATTTCTGAATCATTTTCATCTAAATGAGACATTTATTATGAATCATCACACTGTCTTTTAAGCTGTGATGCACATGAACATGCTTCTTTACAAGGCCACTAAAGAATAATTTTGAAGGTCAAATTTAGATTCAGAAATTCACTGCAACTGTTATTTTTGTACGTTTGCTATTATTGTGCTTTGAGCAAAACATTTGTTGTAATGTAGACAAACCAATGATCAACTTAAATGATCTTGGATTGTTGCCCCCCCGACTAGGGATGGGTATTGATAAGATTTTCACGATTCCGATTCCATTTTCGATTCTGTTTAACGATTCGATTCTTTATCGATTCTTTTTAAAAAAAAAAAGGAGAATACTAAGGTCGATTAGCTTAGAACCTTGTTTTATATCTTCTCTTTGAACAAGATAGAAATTTAAGAGTAACATGGCCTTACAAACCCAACAGTGAGATCTTAAGAGATCCACAGCCTACGGCTCTTCAATGGGGTGTCACAGGGTCCCCGGGGAAAAAAATTGTAAATGTAAAATAATAAAATAAATATTCTTCTGTAGCAATAACAAAGTATAACATAAATTATTCAGTAGCAATTACACAAGAATATCCAGTAATGTCCCTGGCTACAATTAAACACATTCAGTTACCGAAAATCGGGGCATCTGCTGTGGCAAATGGGTGCAAGCCTTTGACCACAAACTTAGTCACTGCTCGGTGACATTCGTCTATCCTGGCCTGAAAGGAGACGCTAACGGTAGACTGCAGCGAGAACTGCCAGCATCTGAGCCAGACTCTGTCTGTCTCTCTCATCATCATGGTCACCTAAATGCACAGTAATGGCAGGTTTTGTAATAAGGCAGATCGCGCTAACATAATATGGACTGTTAGTTGATTATTTACCTGCCACATTAACGAGAGAGGACATGCAAACGTTACCGCTGCTGCTTGGTTGAGATTCACGAGTCCGGAGCGGAATTAAAAACACGACATTCATTTAAGGTCATCGTGTGTTTTGTGAGCAAATGCTTTTGCATATTCGTAGTGTTTCCTCCCTTAAATAAAATATCTACTTTTCAAGTATTGCAAGTTGCCCTGTTGTCATCTGTTCTTGTAAAGTATAATCAAACTTTTGAGTGTTTGAGCCGCTTAGGCGCCATGTTTCCTGCCAGGTAAATGACGCTCCGCAA